GGATGTGATAGTTTTCAATAGAAATGATGTAACTGTAATTATATCTACTGTAAAGTTAAAGGATGTGATAGTTTTCAATATAAATGATGTAACTGTAATTATATCTACTGTAAAGTTAATGATGTGCTAGTTTTCAATAGAAATGATGTAACTGTAACTATATCCACTGTAAAGTTAATGGTATGCTAATTTTCAATAGTTTTCATAACAACAATTTGTGATTTTAAACGTATCTATCAAAACACACAATACACAAAAATTACCAATACTTAATTCGGTAACAATGATAAATAAATACATAAAATAAAATGGAGTCATTTCATTCATTTTTCTATCTTGTGTTTCCCTTGGGTGAACACAATTTTTGTGAAGTAAAATATATGTTAGATCCAGCCGATTGTTGGAGGCTTTAACAGTAAATTGTCAGCCTGTTGTTATATGTATCCATATTTGGGTTTGTTTGTTTGTTTGTTATGAATTTCGCGCAAAGCTACACGAGGTCTATCTGCGCTAGCCGTCCCTAATTTACCAGTGAAAGACTAGAGGGAATGTAGCTAGTCATCACCACCCACCGCCAACTCTTGGGCTACTCTTTTACCAACGAATAGTGGGATTGACCATCACATTATAACGCTCTCAGGGCTGAAAGAGCGAGCATGTTTGGTGGGACAGGGATTCAAACCCGCGACCCTGAGATTGCGAGTCGAGCGCCCTAACCACCTGGCCATGCCGGGTCACCATGTTGGGGTCATTTTTTTTTGGTTTGTTGTAAACTTAAGCTGCAAGAAGACACTGATTTAAAATCTCATGCTGTCTAATATTATATGCATATGTGCAGACAGATCGGATTTGGTGCTAGAATTAAATCTATGTTTACTTGTATTTACTGACGGAAGTTTAAGATAATCTTTTTTTAATTCCATGAGTCCGATTGAATAATAATGGTGTAGGTTGTTTTGGTTTCATAATCAGTCTGGTTTTAAATACACATTGTCGATGCTTAAGAAAACATTAACTTTCTTCCGGTGGGTAAGCGTTAAGTTTATCGACTTAAGACGCTAAAATCCGGGGTTCAATTCCCCGCAATGGACAGATCACATATAGACCATTGTGTATCTTTGTGCTAAACAACAACAACCGTATGACATATATTCATGTGTGACATTACAGTTATGGACAATATTATTTTATATAAAAAGGTCGAAAGTATTATCCAGATATTTAAAAAATATAATAAAATATCGCGCTTTCTCTAATGTTTCGCGTTTACTTCACTTTGTTTTGAACTTTTAACTTGAAAAAAATAACGTCAAAATGTCTGTAAAATATTTTTCTGTAGTGCTTTGGTCGATTTCTATTTTTTTTTCTTTTTAAAATCAGGTTTATTAATACCCAGTATTCTCCAGTCAGCATTATACGAGCTAAAGAAAGAAACCCTACAATAATTGATCGAGTAAACAACAGACAAAGCTAGGATCCTTATTTTATGAGACGACAGAGGGTCGGATAAATAGGAATATTTTGAGATTTGCAGTTCCAACGGATTCTCATCCTTTTACACAAATCAAAGCTGTATATAACTTAAAACTATAATATTTGTAAATTATCCTTGTGTGTCTAGAAAATGTAACTTATTACTGTAACATTGTTCTGTATATCACATTTGTCTTCTATGCAAGAATTAACGAACTTCTGCAAGCCTGTCGATTCACCTTCCTATTTACCTATTTCACGTCCCTTTATCTTTCATTCTGGTTATCTATCTTCCTACCATCATTGCTGCTCATGTTTTGCAACCAGGTGAGTTCCAGTTTTTTTAATCCAATTCGAACTATGTTGTTCATTCTAATTCCGTAGGTTTCGTAAGTAAGCAAGCTAGCTCGCCCACATATGTCGCGCCATACATGATGAAATATCACACCAGAGTAGGAGTTCGTGTATCTAGGGCAAACGGTGGTGAAAAGAAAAACAGGCTGGGGAAATGCATATGTTTGTATGTATTTACGTCGCTGTACTCCCATATGTCTGGTTGAATCATATAAATAATACGAATACACAATTTAACCGATAAATTTGTAGATAGAAATCATATCTATATAATGTTCGTATGTGTGATCTTAAGCATCAGAGTTAATATGTTTTCTAAAGAATGTTCATGAAACGTTAAACTTACTTGAGTACTTCCCGCTCCTTGTCTTCCTCAGCTTTTTGCCTCTGCATAACATTTTCAATTATCTTCCTCTCTTCCTCACTGAGGTGACTAAGGTCAGGCATTGGAGGGACCACGGCCGGACTCTGACTCTCCATCCCCACACACAAACACACCTAGAGCTACAATGGGGTGGGTCCCACAGTTTAGGCTTAGTGACAGTACGGCTGGCTGAATAATGGCGGCGGACGCAAGCGTTGTACTTGGTTTGTGTACTTCGTTAGCATGGCGGTTGTCATCTAACTACGATTGACTTTGTTCTTCTGGTTTTTTTCTTTGACAGCTGCAAACATACCAACCTTTAGGTTTCCGCATTATAACTGGAATGCTGACATTTCCTGGATAGTGTCTGAGTTCTGAATAGTAGGAAGGGAAACAGTTGAAGAGTTCAGACGTTTTCTACTTGCTCCACTAATTTCTGGAGACCTCTGCTTCCTATCATCCTCGTTGGGTGGCGCTGTTTTACGCATATATGCGTGCATAGAGCGTTGGACGTTCTCTTATGAATAAGTTAAGGTCTATTCGTGAGAGTGCAGGGGTAATAACGTCATTCAGCTGACCAATCAAAGATCATTGTTACTCTGACGTTAGTATCAGATCGTTTCATTGTGGTTGGCAAAGAGCAAAAATATGTGAATGAAATGATCTTATGAAATCTCAGACAGAAACTAAAGACAGACGGAGCCAGCGTGACGCTGGTCCAATTCGTAATTTTTATTTCTGTTTTTCTTCTGACTTAAACTTATGCTCATAACGTTTTTTTTTCTTCTTACATTGAGATGTTAGCTAAAGAAAATACGTATAATCGATACCACTAGGTAAATCGAAGTTTTCAAATTCATCAAATAACGCATTCTCTGATTGCCCCTGTGTAATTGTCTTCACTACAAATTTAATAAATCTCAACAGTGAACATGAACTTAGAGGGCCGCAATGTAATCTTTTTGCTGATTTTTGAAATACAGCACATAACTCTATGGTTTTAAACTTTTGTCTGTTCTCAAAGATTATCAAAAGCCCAATAAGTAGTTATTTATGAACTTAGAATCTATTAAAATGTCATAAATTAATCAAATCAACTTTCAAAACTAATACTTAAATTCGGTTAACTTAATCTTTTAATACGGTTCAAAGTAATAAAAAGGAAAAGATCGAAAAAATACAGATTGCGAAAGTTAGACATAAGTTATCATAATAATTGTTTAAAATAGATATTTTCTATACTATTGAAATCTTATGACTCGGTATTTATGACATATGCCAAAATAAATGAAGCCAATTTAAAAAAGTCTATCTGGACACGTATCTGTCTATTCGGTCCTTGTTAGACATTATTTTTTATGAAGTTCAATCTGAAATTATTATGTGATATATTTATTTCTTGAGCACTTTTAGATGTAGAAACACGACAATAAATGTATTATTAATTTATGGAATATTATTAATAAAATCCTCTAATCTGATAATAGCAATTACCATAATAACCAGTATTACAATGTATATAAAAAATGAATAGTTAAGTTTTGTGAAAATATGAAGAGATGCTTCACAGAACCTTGTTTAATATTGTCTTTTATTCAGTGATAAATTACTGACATTTACATGTTATATTTTGGGATATTCCACATCTTCAAAACAAACTTTAAATCTGATGTAACCATACCTTGTTTTTTGTTTTGAATATTCACGAAAAGCTACTCTAGAACTAGCTGTCCCTAATTTGAATTGATAGACTAGAAGTTAACATCGCCAACTCATGGATAATTCTAATCGAATAGTGTAACTTAAAAGTATTTTTATAACGTTATCATGGCTTCAAAGTGCGGAGTGTAATTTTAACGAAACGGGACGCGAACCACGGATTCACAGTCTGGCATGCTAACCTCTAGGCTTAGCGCGGTCCGTTAATGGTTGTTCAAAAGTAAATCTCATCGCATTTAACGATGGATAAACTGAAATATGAAATTACAAAATGTAAAATAAAATAATGGTGAAAAGCTCGCCAAATTAAAATAAGTTTATTGGTGAGCAAGAAAACAACATTTTGGGCAACAGCCTTTCAAAGGAAAACCAGCTGAAGGGTTGTTGCCCAA